TTGTCGCTTGCGAAATCAAAATGACGGTGCCTTGAGTGGAAGTTTACAGATTAAGGGGCGGTAATATTATAATGAGATCGCTTTGCCACGTCACCAAGGGAGTGAAATCAGACGCTTGCAGAAAAAAGCTTACCTAAACAAAGTTACTGGGTTAATCTTTTTCACGTTTCCTTGGTTGGTAGATGCACCGGGGACCTGATTATAGCACTTGAAACCTGGAAAAGTCAGATTTTCATGATATGTCACCTTTAAAGATCCCTTTAACTAAAGTTTGTGGTCTATATTTCTTGTTTGTTTTTTTTGGTGCTAAATGTTCTTTCATTCCTGTCAATGCTTGTAAAAGTCAAGAGTGCTAATTGGTTCGTTAGCGCAGAGTTTGCAGTTTGAAGGAATCATAATGATTAATAATGGAAATACTTTGACATTTCATGGAGAGCAGTGATTTCCGTTGACCTTTGTGAAGACGTTCAGTAGGCCTGTCGCAATAATCAATATATCGACTTATCGTGCAATATATGTACATGACTTCAATCATTTTTGTTGACGCAATATATCACCCATTATATTTACTTAAACATTAATGTCACCATGTTTTTTACATTCCACTTGCGCCTGTGTCTTTCACAGCTTCTCGTACATAACGTGATGTAGCCACGAGGTGCTAGTTCAAATTTTAAAAATGCTTCTACAAAAAAGTTTCATCTGCAGATATGGCCTTGTTTATGGATCTGTGCCTTTGTGCATACGGACATCTGAATGCTGAGTAGTGATTGTGTTTTTCAGCAAGAGTGTGCACTCTTAATTTACAGAGAAAAGAAGGTCAGGGGAAAATCAGTAGATTAAAAAATCTCCATACAAGTTCTTTGTGAAAAAAAATGTGTGTGCATTTTTTTCTACTTGTTACTTTGCACTTTTTGTTAGAAAAAGTTTATTTACTATTTATTCAAGTTTATTAAGGTATACAAAGTTACTGGGTTAATCTTTTTCACGTTTCCTTGGTTGGTAGATGCACCGGGGACCTGATTATAGCACTTGAAACCTGGAAAAGTCAGATTTTCATGATATGTCACCTTTAAAGATCCCTTTAACTAAAGTTTGTGGTCTATATTTCTTGTTTGTTTTTTTTGGTGCTAAATGTTCTTTCATTCCTGTCAATGCTTGTAAAAGTCAAGAGTGCTAATTGGTTCGTTAGCGCAGAGTTTGCAGTTTGAAGGAATCATAATGATTAATAATGGAAATACTTTGACATTTCATGGAGAGCAGTGATTTCCGTTGACCTTTGTGAAGACGTTCAGTAGGCCTGTCGCAATAATCAATATATCGACTTATCGTGCAATATATGTACATGACTTCAATCATTTTTGTTGACGCAATATATCACCCATTATATTTACTTAAACATTAATGTCACCATGTTTTTTACATTCCACTTGTGCCTGTGTCTTTCACAGCTTCTCGTACATAACGTGATGTAGCCACGAGGTGCTAGTTCAAATTTTAAAAATGCTTCTACAAAAAAGTTTCATCTGCAGATATGGCCTTGTTTATGGATCTGTGCCTTTGTGCATACGGACATCTGAATGCTGAGTAGTGATTGTGTTTTTCAGCAAGAGTGTGCACTCTTAATTTACAGAGAAAAGAAGGTCAGGGGAAAATCAGTAGATTAAAAAATCTCCATACAAGTTCTTTGTGAAAAAAAATGTGTGTGCATTTTTTTTCTACTTGTTACTTTGCACTTTTTGTTAGAAAAAGTTTATTTACTATTTATTCAAGTTTATTAAGGTATCTAATATTTTGATACTTAATTTCCATGATCTAAATATTCCTAAAAATTAAATGTTTGTTGTTATTTGGATCATTTGTCATTGTATAGGCCTTCTTGCATTATTATGCTGTGATTATAGTATTATGATTATATATTCAGTGGCATTAAATGGTCTTTAAAATGACAATAATATCGCTTATCGCAATTATTTATAGGGCAATATATCGCACAACAAAAAGTTGTTATTGTGACAAGCCTAACGTTCAGATCAGTTGCAGTCAGTATGTGAAGCGAGGTGTGTTTATAAGTGGATTGTGTGTGACTGGAGCAGTAAGCCTGTATGAATGCATCCGTCTTCACTATATGATTCAATGTGCGGCTAATGTATCTAATCCTCTTGTATTCGTGCGATGTAGGGATGGAAACGCTCTCATCCGCTCGCAGACACAGATGATTATATTCGCAGTGTTTGTTGTTCTGGTGCTCTGAGAGCATTACTGTAATGATGTCTGTGTTTTCACATGATGAAAGCGTTTGGTCTGGTGTTATGGGATATTAATGAGATGTTAATGGTCTTGCTGTGGCTTGTGTTTTGTCAGATTCTGATTAATTCGGTGAGCCCGTCCCGGCCGGTGCTGCTGTACGAGAGCGTCCCGGTGAGCGAGGGCAGTCCGGTGCTGCGGGACACACTGTTCAGCCCAGACCTGCAGTTCATCTACACACTCACCGACAGACAGGTGAGCACACGGACCTCACACGCTTCACAGCGCTGCCTTTAATTACACAAGAGCCGGATTTTCAATACGGTATTGGAATTAATGGCAAAAAGTTAATTAGATATTTAATAGTAGTTGATGTAAGTTTCAACATTTATAAATATATTATAAAAAAATCAAAATGTACATTTAATCATTTAGTAGAAGCTTTTATCCAAAGCGACTTACTAATGAAGACAATAGAAGCAAACGAACATCAAACGAGCAATACTGTGTAAGCGTCTCACTTAATCTAATACAGTACACTTAACAAGGTGTTTTTTATAACGAATAAAAAGAATGAAAAGTAGATAGAATAGAAAAAGAATAGAGCACGCTAATGTTAGAGGGTCAAGTTTTTTTATATGTATTAATATTATTTAAAGGACCTGAACAAATAAGAACTGACAGTGAACTTATTTTTATGAACAAATGTTATCAAAGATTAATTGATACTCTTAACATGTCTTTCTCATTGTTAGTTAATGCATTAACTAATGTTAAATACCTTATTATAAAGTGTTTTGGTGTTGAGTTTTGACGAGTTGCGTGGAAACCAGTGGGAGTCAGTTTGACCTCTAACACGGTCTTAGTCACCAGAATGTGCTCAGCCTTTCCAAAACACATTGAGCTGTTGTACATTCATGACACTACATCAGGATAAAGTCACAACATTTCAAGAAATGTTGGTCAAATTGACCTGAACACAGAAGGAGGGTTAAACAGTAAAGCTGTTATAGGGACTTTCTGTTGTGCATGAGATAGAAACTATTATCTTATATTGCAACATGTTCTCTCATTATCATTCGTTTGATGTAGTTTCAGTCTTGATGCAATTATGATAGAATCATGCATTGCAGTTTTGAATCATGATGCATCCTGATGTTTATCAGATCATGAGGTGATTGTAATACCAGCTCGATTGAAACAGTCACCCATGAGTGTGTGTTATGGAGTTTAAAGTTATTTTAGTCTCTCACACACACATGTAGGACATACAGTGAGAGATCAATGAGATGATGTACATTACAGTGTCATCTGATCTGATTATTGATGTGTTAGTGTATTAACACACACACACACACACACATCTGCTCTATACGTCACATGAGACTCCATCGATCTGCTGTTGAACATTCACTCCTGAATCCAGATAAAACATCACTGCTAGACACACAATCAATAATAATAATCCCAAACTCATGATATTATATGACGTGTGATGTTTGATGTTAATATGCTTTGGTGTAATGTATAATCATGTGTTGCTGTGCTCTTAATTTTCCATGTTTGTCTCATGTTCTGTGAAATGATTATAAAGTTACTCTAAATTCTCATTGGCTAATCTTGTGAGTTTGGGGCAGGGCTATCAGTTTAACTGACCAGTGAGAGACGGAGGGTGTGTTTGAGATGAAACTCATTTCTGCACGTCTGTTAGGTGATGCTAGAAAAGCAGAAATATCACACTGCCACTTTAAAGGACTTTTTTAATGATTTTGACATTTTATGTGTGCATTTGAGACAACAGTGACAAATATAATGCTGTCTCCCATAAGAATATGCCTGCAAAATACAAGTCGTTCTTTGTTCCCTGTCTCTTTGTGTTGTGTCAGTTTCTATTTTTCCCGTTCCTTCACTTTTCTTTGCAGGATAATGAAAACGGCTGGCTGAGAGTCTGAGGCGGTGCTCGGCAAATGCACAAGCTCCATTTAAAGCCCTGACAGAGTAATTTAGCATTGGCCCCTTGTTCTCCAGCACTTAATTAAAAAGTGTTTGATAGCCTCGGCCCCGGGCGAAAGGATGCTCTCCAGATGAAACCAGATGATAGACACATCTGGATGATACTCGAGCGGATATCAAACTCTAAACTCCCTCCTCATTCACAGCAGCTTAGACTACACACAAAATCAACCTGTCGCCATGGTGATGACATCACCTTTAACGTGTGACTGCCCACATTTACATATGTGACCCTGGAGCACAAAACCTGTCATAAGGTTTGATAGCCTCGGCCCCGGGCGAAAGGATGCTCTCCAGATGAAACCAGATGATAGACACATCTGGATGATACTCGAGCGGATATCAAACTCTAAACTCCCTCCTCATTCACAGCAGCTTAGACTACACACAAAATCAACCTGTCGCCATGGTGATGACATCACCTTTAACGTGTGACCGCCCACATTTACATATGTGACCCTGGAGCACAAAACCTGTCATAAGGGTCCATTTTTTTAAAATTGAGATTTATACATTATCTGAATAAATAAGCTCTCCGTTGATGTATGGTTTGTTAGGATAGGACAATATTTGGCCGAGATGCAACTATTTGCAAGCCTGGAATCTGAGGGTGCAAAAAAAAAAACATCAAAATATTGAGAACATTGCCTTTAAAGTTGTCCAAATGAAGTTCTTAGCAATGCATATTACTAATCAAAAATTAAGTTTTGATATATTTACGGTAGGAAATTTACAAACTATTTTCATGGAACATGATCTTTACTTAAAGGGTTAGTTCACCCAAAAATGAAAATTAGCCTGTGTTTTACTCACCCTCGAGGCATCCTAGGTGCATATGACTTTCTTCTTTCACACAAATCCAATCGGAGTTATATTAAAAATTGTCCTGACTCTTCCAAGCGTTATCATTGCAGTGGACGGGTGTTTCTGTTGAACAGTCCAAAACACGTCAAATAAAGCGTGCACATCCATAATAAAACGTGCCTCACACGGCTCCGGGGCGGGAATAAACGCCTCCTGTTGCGAATCCATGCGGTTTTGTAAGAAAAATATCCATATTTCAAACGTAATAAACACTTCTCTCTCACTTCATCTAACTGTCATAAGCGTAAGTTGTTCCGGCGGATGAGTAGGACGTCGGCGTTGCGTGATTAGTGACGAATGCGGAGGGAGAACAAAACAAAACGCCGGTCACGAATTAGAAGCACAAACCAAGGATTTGTAAAGAAAAATGTCAGAGGACTTCGATATAAGCCAAGAGACTGGTTTTCCTTTGCTAAAGTAAGGAAACTTTGCTTCCTCTGCTCCTGTAAACAAACTCGTGAGACTAGCATATCTCAGAGGAAATATCTAAAATTTTAATTTTCATGTTTGGGTGAACTAACCCTTTAATATCCTAATGATTTTTGGCATAAAAGAAAAATCGATAATTTTGACCCATACAATGTATTGTTGGCTATTGCTACAAATATCCCCCAGAGACTTAACACTGCTTTTGTGCTACTCAGAATCTACTCAAACAGCAGCGTGAAACATGCAGGTGTGTAGAGGTTAGCAAATCAGATCAGAGTCATTTGCATATAGAAGTCTTAAAGGTGCAGTAGCAAAAGACCTTGACTGACATAAATGAGGAATGAAATAAAAGATAAAAGTGTAGAATGTGGGCTCTTAAATGGATGATTCGTCTTGAATGAAAGAGTTGTGGTTTAATAAAGAGGAGCTGTGATGGAGGTTATCACATGGACGCACAGGAGTGTGTGTGGTTAAGCTCATGTGTTTTAAAGTCTTAACCTTTTTGTTCTGTCTAATCGAATCATTGATCATCTGGAGCAAAGTTAATCCCATAATCCTTCATATCAGCAGCGAGTGAATCATCCAGTCTTACGGCAATTAAGAACTTCAGCTGTGTGTGTGTGTGTCTGGGTTTGTGTGTGTGTGTGTGGTTCAGTATTGATTGAGTGTGTGTGTGTTTGACATTTTATGTGTGCATTTGAGACAACAGTGACAAATATAATGCTGTCTCCCATAAGAATATGCCTGCAAAATACAAGTCGTTCTTTGTTCCCTGTCTCTTTGTGTTGTGTCAGTTTCTATTTTTCCCGTTCCTTCACTTTTCTTTGCAGGATAATGAAAACGGCTGGCTGAGAGTCTGAGGCGGTGCTCGGCAAATGCACAAGCTCCATTTAAAGCCCTGACAGAGTAATTTAGCATTGGCCCCTTGTTCTCCAGCACTTAATTAAAAAGTGTTTGATAGCCTCGGCCCCGGGCGAAAGGATGCTCTCCAGATGAAACCAGATGATAGACACATCTGGATGATACTCGAGCGGATATCAAACTCTAAACTCCCTCCTCATTCACAGCAGCTTAGACTACACACAAAATCAACCTGTCGCCATGGTGATGACATCACCTTTAACGTGTGACTGCCCACATTTACATATGTGACCCTGGAGCACAAAACCTGTCATAAGGTCATTTTTTTAAAATTGAGATTTATACATTATCTGAATAAATAAGCTCTCCGTTGATGTATGGTTTGTTAGGATAGGACAATATTTGGCCGAGATGCAACTATTTGCAAGCCTGGAATCTGAGGGTGCAAAAAAAAAAACGTCAAAATATTGAGAACATTGCCTTTAAAGTTGTCCAAATGAAGTTCTTAGCAATGCATATTACTAATCAAAAATTAAGTTTTGATATATTTACGGTAGGAAATTTACAAACTATTTTCATGGAACATGATCTTTACTTAAAGGGTTAGTTCACCCAAAAATGAAAATTAGCCTGTGTTTTACTCACCCTCGAGGCATCCTAGGTGCATATGACTTTCTTCTTTCACACAAATCCAATCGGAGTTATATTAAAAATTGTCCTGACTCTTCCAAGCGTTATCATTGCAGTGGACGGGTGTTTCTGTTGAACAGTCCAAAACACGTCAAATAAAGCGTGCACATCCATAATAAAACGTGCCTCACACGGCTCCGGGGCGGGAATAAACGCCTCCTGTTGCGAATCCATGCGGTTTTGTAAGAAAAATATCCATATTTCAAACGTAATAAACACTTCTCTCTCACTTCATCTAACTGTCATAAGCGTAAGTTGTTCCGGCGGATGAGTAGGACGTCGGCGTTGCGTGATTAGTGACGAATGCGGAGGGAGAACAAAACAAAACGCCGGTCACGAATTAGAAGCACAAACCAAGGATTTGTAAAGAAAAATGTCAGAGGACTTCGATATAAGCCAAGAGACTGGTTTTCCTTTGCTAAAGTAAGGAAACTTTGCTTCCTCTGCTCCTGTAAACAAACTCGTGAGACTAGCATATCTCAGAGGAAATATCTAAAATTTTAATTTTCATGTTTGGGTGAACTAACCCTTTAATATCCTAATGATTTTTGGCATAAAAGAAAAATCGATAATTTTGACCCATACAATGTATTGTTGGCTATTGCTACAAATATCCCCCAGCGACTTAACACTGCTTTTGTGCTACTCAGAATCTACTCAAACAGCAGCGTGAAACATGCAGGTGTGTAGAGGTTAGCAAATCAGATCAGAGTCATTTGCATATAGAAGTCTTAAAGGTGCAGTAGCAAAAGACCTTGACTGACATAAATGAGGAATGAAATAAAAGATAAAAGTGTAGAATGTGGGCTCTTAAATGGATGATTCGTCTTGAATGAAAGAGTTGTGGTTTAATAAAGAGGAGCTGTGATGGAGGTTATCACATGGACGCACAGGAGTGTGTGTGGTTAAGCTCATGTGTTTTAAAGTCTTAACCTTTTTGTTCTGTCTAATCGAATCATTGATCATCTGGAGCAAAGTTAATCCCATAATCCTTCATATCAGCAGCGAGTGAATCATCCAGTCTTACGGCAATTAAGAACTTCAGCTGTGTGTGTGTGTGTCTGGGTTTGTGTGTGTGTGTGTGGTTCAGTATTGATTGAGTGTGTGTGTGTGTAGAGGCTGTATTAAAAGCCTCTTGATTGGTTGAGATGTTTTACTAAAACACATTGACAGTAATGGAAGAGAGAGAGAAAGTTCTCTCTCATTTCTGCATTAGGGCCGTTCTCACAGCACACGATCTTCTAGTATGAGCACATGCTTTAGCTTTCACACTGGATCAATGTTCGTTTAAATGGACCAATTAAACCAATCAAAAAAAAATCATTATAATTTATCATTTAGAATTTTAATTCCTTTGTGACGGAACAAACTTCTTCCTCCCATAAAGAATTGCAAATCGTAGTGGAATCAAAAGCCACATTACAGTATAAAGCTATCAATTTTATAGTCATTTTCTATAAAAACTAAATATTTTTGTTCATGTTTATAGCAAAATATACACTACATTCAAAATTTGCGATTAATAAGATGTACGGTATGTATGTGTTTACTTATTATTTATTTTAAAGAAGACTCTTCTGCCCTCCACGGCTGCATTTACTTGATCAAAATTACAGTAATGGCAATAATATTGTGAAATATTATTACAATTTAAAATAAGTGTTTTCTATGTGAATCTCTGTTAAACTGTAATGTATTTCTGTGATGCGCAGCTGTATTTTCAGCATCATTCCTCCAGTCTTCAGTGTCACATGATCTTCAGAAATCAGTATAATATGCTGATCTGCTGCTCAAGAAACATTTCTGATTATTATCAATGTTGAAAACAGTTGAGCTGCACAATATTTTTTGTGGAAACTGTGATACATTTTATTTTTCAGGATTCTTTGATGAATAGAAAGTTCAAAAGAACAGCATTTATTTGAAATATAATTTTTTGTAACATTGTCTTTACTGTCACTTTTGATCATTTAAATGTATCCTTGATGAATAAGTGTTTTTAAAACAGCTCAAGCTTTTGAACGGTAGTGTGTGTGTGTGTGTGTGTGCATGTATTTATTCATATTTATTTCCATAAACATATATTATGTTTTGTATGTTTATGATGAAAACCTTTGACTGTGAAAGTTTGTGTTTTTACTCCAACACAATCATTTCGCACATCACCTGATAACGTAGTTTGTTTTGTCTGAGATATAGAGATCACCCGTGTGTGTGTGTTGTTCATGTTACACACATCATCATCGTGTCACATATTTGATTGACGTTTGATGCCCGAGGCTCTGAGTTTTCCTCATCTCTCAGAATGTGTGTGTGTTTTGACTCGCACTATTATCAGGTGTTGTTTGTGTGTGTGTGTGTGTGTGTGTGTGTGTGTGTGTGTGTGTGTGTGTGTGTGTGTCATTTATCTTGAATTCATTTGTGTCTGTTTTGGCTGCAGGCTGCAGTTTAGCACGCTGAATATCAGATGAACGGCGCTGGCGGCTGCTCACGAGCGTGTGTGTTACATGATGGGTTTCAACGTGTATTAAAATGACAAATTAATATTGAACTTGCATCAAGAGGTGTTGGCATTTATTGCATTTTTATTTTCTTTGTTCTTTTACGCTGTATATTTTCACACACACTGACAGGCTGCATATGGTCAACTTGTTTCACAGAGCAGCTCCTGTGCCCTAAACACACACACACACACACACACACACACACCTGACCCCGTCATCCTCACCATCTGTTCTTCCTCTCTGCTCGTCTTCATCCCTCCATCACTGTTCCTCACTCTGTAAACTGATAGTCCTCAGTGAATGACCACTCACACCTGACTGACCTACTGTGTGTGTGTGTGTGTGTGTGTGTGTGTGTGTGTGTGTTGTTGGGGTGGATTTATAGGCTGGTTTTTCCCATTCTGTATTCTGAGTCTATTTTTTACTTCAAGTTTTACTTCAATATTTTACTTCATGTTTTTTTAATTGTATTTTCATAGTTTTATCTTTCTTTGTTTCACTCGTTCTTTACTGTTTTTTCTGTTCTTGTGTCCTTCCTCCTTTCCTTCCTTCCTTCCATCTCTCCTCTGCTTCCTCTTCCTCCACACACACACTCACACTCACACACACACACACACACACACACACACACACACACACACTGATGTTATTCTGTTTTCAGCAGGAGGACTTCAGGGTTCCTGTCAATCAAACGCTGATCTCCGTGGTAACTGTCAGATGGCGCAGCGTGTGATAAGCTGATTCTGTGCTTTCCATATGCACACACATGTATACACACACACACACACACACATACACACAGACAAACAGCAGCAAGCATGTTTCTCACACTCCAGCGCTTGTCTCTGGCTTGCAGCGTCTCTTGATTTGGCCGCAGATGTGCTGTATGACTGCAGTGTTTCTCAGATTGACTGTGTGTGTGTTTGTGTGTGTGTGTGTGTGCGCGTGCGTGTGCGCAGGTGACGCGTGTGCCGGTGGAGCGCTGCTCTCAGTACAGCAGCTGCTCTGAATGTCTGAGCTCCAGAGACCCTCACTGCGGCTGGTGTGTCCTTCACAACATGTAAGCAAGCAAACACACACACACACACACACACAGATACAGATATCTTCATAACACACATTTCCTTTAACCAGTCTGAACTTTGGATAGATGTGAATAAGTTGAATATAAGCATGCTGTATCATATTTGATATACAAATGTATAAGGCCTCTGAATGACCAACATGATCAAAACTTTACTGTTAAACCTGTTGCACACAATCCACTCCATGCCTTCTGTCATCAGAGTGATAGTTTAAACTTAAGCAAGTTAAATGTACTACAGTCCTCCTTCAGCTGGTGCTTCATGTCTTTTTGCTGCCAAATCTTTACTGATTTTTTATCCAGTAAACATAAGAATAAGTTTGATATTGTTAGTAATATTTCCAGATGAACACTGAAGCTGCTTAGTTTTACTCGATTATCCATGAATCATTTTTTTTTTTATTGAAATGTCAGTATCAAATTTGATCATCAGGCTTTTGAGGAACGTTTGTTTGTTCATCTCTCAATCATCATTGTATTGCATTGCATTATGTGTTTTGGTCCTCAAACTAAATATTTAAAGACATATTATTGGAGATATAGAGTGATGACTGATATTTATATAATTTTATGTAATTATCTGTTATACTGTTCTCATTGATTTACATTACAAGCATCAGAATTTCATCATATAAATATCAGCATCTGCACCGAAATGCAAATTTTCGCTCCGTTTGAGTCTCCCTTCATATTCTCACAATATCATCCTATATGAGCCATAAAAGCCTGATGGGTCAGATGTGATGCTAAAAAATAAATAAAAGTAGTAATAATAATTAAATGAGCAAATAAATAACTAAAATTATTTTAAGTTTAATAAACTCTTCCACAAAAAAAAAAAAAATGCAAATAAAAGAATTGAACCATTATTTCACGTGTCCGGCTTTAGAGGGTTAAAACTCTTGGTTTGCCACCCTGGGCTTGTTTTCTGAGCGTCTGTGTGTTTGCATGTGGCTTACCACCATCTACCGTGTTTTGTCACATCAGTTCATCAAACGCTTCCTCAGGCTACAGAATAAAGACGTTGTAGAAATATTCATTATGATTCACATAAACGGGTCATTGAGGCTTCTCTGATCTCACTCACGGGAGAAACATTAGCAGGATCTCAGAACTAAACTGTGCTTAAAAAATAATTAAAAGCCAAAAAAGACTCCCATCGTCCTCTCTTCTGCAATAACCGTCACGTTCAGCTGTAGTCCCTGAAGATTGAGATGTCAGCTTTATCTTTAGATGTCTGCGTTTGCCCTTCAGGGATCGGTGAAGTCTGTGTGTTCATGTCTGAGCGCTCAGCTCGCGTTCCAGCAAACACTCAACACCTCCTGGCAAACATTAGCAGCAAATAGTCCTGTGCCACAAGTTTACCACACTTTTACCCACAAAGCGGCAGTTTTGCAAGCAGTTTAAATGGTTTTCCCATGTTACATCTACAGTAAATGCCAGAGGAGCGCAGAAGTCAGCTTCCAGATGTAAAAACCCCTTTTATTTTCTCCATAGTGAGAGAATTATTTTTAACAGTAACATAAACTTGTAAGGCTGAACACTGAGGTCACAGTGATGATTATATGCGTCTGTAGAAGTTTGTGATTTGCGCAACATTAAAACATGTTTAGTTTCAAATTCCCAGTAAAGAAGTAAGTCACTGTTACCATGGTGATGACAAATAGGGACCGCCCACTTCCTTAAAACATTGCAAATAACCTAATTGCTGCATCCCAATTCGCCTACTTATACTATGCTCTAAAAATATGTACTTTTTTGTAAAGAAAAAGTACATACTTTTGAGTATGTAGCAGAATAGTAGGCAAGCTTTGGGACGTACTACTTCGTCATTATTACGTCTTTAACAGATGCTCTATTGCTTCGTTACATGCATCCTGTCACCGTTTAAACTGCACCAAAGTTATCATTATCCATATTTCAATTAATTTAATTTCCTACCGTATTGGAGAGAAATAAGAGGCACGCTGATCTGCCAGTCGCGGGTCTATCGTGCCGAGAACTCTGCTCTTGTGTTTGCATAACGATGCATGTAAAAGTCAATGACCAAACGTATCATTATAAAAGTTCACAGTGTTGCTGCAGATGAAATATAACGCGGATAACATCAAATAAATATTTTTTCAACAGGTTAGACATTGATTATTTATCACTCAAACCCCTTTCTCTACCTGTCCATATCCGCCATGTTTGTAGTTTTTAAAAACTTTTTACGCATGTTTGTGGTTCTAATCGAATCCTCATCCACTGCGCAATCAAATATTCATGTTGCGATTAATTGATGTTAATCACGGTATATTATACGGTATTATCACGGTATTGCAATTTAGTTGCAAAAGAGTATTGTCATAATACAGTATAACAGGTTTAATAACTTTTTTCTTATAACAAAAATAGCTGAACATTTAAATACAATAAAGCAATACACAAAAAATGTGTAAAGTTAAAACAGATTAAAGTGCAAAATAATTATAAAGACCAATAGGTATCACTTTACAATAAGATCTCATTAGTTAACCTTAGTTAATGCATTAACATTCACAATTTGCTACAGAAGTTATTAATCTTTGTTTATTACACGGCTCTGTGGAATACTTGATTCTGATTGGTCCGTCGCGACATTATGAGATATGCTATCCCTCGATAACAAGCAAGAACTAACAAACTGGTACGGTTTTAAAACATTTTCGTCTTAATTCTTAACACTGAGGTCACAGTGATGATTATATGCGTCTGTAGAAGTTTGTGATTTGCGCAACATTAAAACATGTTTAGTTTCAAATTCCCAGTAAAGAAGTAAGTCACTGTTACCATGGTGATGACAAATAGGGACCGCCCACTTCCTTAAAACATTGCAAATAACCTAATTGCTGCATCCCAATTCGCCTACTTATACTATGCTCTAAAAATATGTACTTTTTTGTAAAGAAAAAGTACATACTTTTGAGTATGTAGCAGAATAGTAGGCAAGCTTTGGGACGTACTACTTCGTCATTATTACGTCTTTAACAGATGCTCTATTGCTTCGTTACATGCATCCTGTCACCGTTTAAACTGCACCAAAGTTATCATTATCCATATTTCAATTAATTTAATTTCCTACCGTATTGGAGAGAAATAAGAGGCACGCTGATCTGCCAGTCGCGGGTCTATCGTGCCGAGAACTCTGCTCTTGTGTTTGCATAACGATGCATGTAAAAGTCAATGACCAAACGTATCATTATAAAAGTTCACAGTGTTGCTGCAGATGAAATATAACGCGGATAACATCAAATAAATATTTTTTCAACAGGTTAGACATTGATTATTTATCACTCAAACCCCTTTCTCTACCTGTCCATATCCGCCATGTTTGTAGTTTTTAAAAACTTTTTACGCATGTTTGTGGTTCTAATCGAATCCTCATCCACTGCGCAATCAAATATTCATGTTGCGATTAATTGATGTTAATCACGGTATATTATACGGTATTATCACGGTATTGCAATTTAGTTGCAAAAGAGTATTGTCATAATACAGTATAACAGGTTTAATAACTTTTTTCTTATAACAAAAATAGCTGAACATTTAAATACAATAAAGCAATACACAAAAAATGTGTAAAGTTAAAACAGATTAAAGTGCAAAATAATTATAAAGACCAATAGGTATCACTTTACAATAAGATCTCATTAGTTAACCTTAGTTAATGCATTAACATTCACAATTTGCTACAGAAGTTATTAATCTTTGTTTATTACACGGCTCTGTGGAATACTTGATTCTGATTGGTCCGTCGCGACATTATGAGATATGCTATCCCTCGATAACAAGCAAGAACTAACAAACTGGTACGGTTTTAAAACATTTTCGTCTTAATTCTTTTATTGCCTTAATTATTTTTGTGGTGAAATGTTGTGTAATAAGTGCTTTGACTGCACCGTTTCCCTTAAATGTCCATCTAGTTAGAATTTGCCGCTTGCTCGCAACTGCTCAAATCAATATTTCGCGTCTAATTATTTACTTATGTAAATAATTACGCTGATCACCCTGTCGGGGTTTATTCTGAGATAACAACCGGCTGGATGTACATTATCCCGCTTATTACACGGCTTCTTGCCACATAAGTAAATAATTAGTTCACGTTGTCTCAGGTTCATATGCTTTTTTGCTTAAAATTCCATTTTTATTTATGATTCATCAGGGAGCTGGTCTGTTTGGTTCATGGCTTGGAACTCTTTATTGAAGAATGTTTCTGAAATCCCTGTGGAGGAAATGAATGTTTATGAATGAATCCTTCAGTTTACACAGACTTTCTCTCGTTGTCGATTATACTAAAGTTTATTAACACTCTGAACCACTCAAGGGTGTTGAAGAAGTTTTGTAGAAATGTAAGTTTATTCCTCTCTGTCGTCAGTTGTTCTCGCCGTGATCGCTGTGAGAGAGCCGACGAGCCTGTGTGTGTGAGAGAGTGTGTGTGTGTGTGTGTGAGAGTGTGTGTTAGTGTGTGTGTTAGTGTGTGTGTTTGTGAGAGTGTTTGTGTGTGTGTGAATTAGAGTAGATGCGACATGCACAGCACTGCGTATCTGTCACCTCTCCATAGATGTTGAGGAGCGGTACACTGTATGGAGCGCTAGCAGACACGCAGCAATATTGAGCAGCAGATGTCGTGTAGAGTGTATTTTAAAAACAAGCAGATGAATTATGGGGACGTGGGCCAAGCTTTTTCACTTTGTCTGTTTTCTCCATCGGTCTGCCAGCTGGTCCTGCAGGCCCTCAACGTCCCGGATCTTTCCGCAGGGGTGGACTGTTCCTTCGAGGATTACACCGAGACCGAAGGAACAATACACGGATCGCAGATCTACTGCCTCTCGCCGTCAGCCAAAGAGCTCGTCCCCATCACACACCAGCAGAGTCAGTGAACACACACTGCTAGATCATACACACTAGTGCTCACTAGAAGCATTGCAGCAGAAGCCATTACAACCAAGAGTCTTAAAGATCATGAGTAACATCAGTATATGATGATTATTATATAACACCATCAGTCTGTTCCACAGATTCAGTCAGTGGTTTGGTTTTCAGATCGTCATCATATCTATCCTGTATAGTTTGAGGGATTATTGTGTCCCAGATAGGATTGGGGATTTAGAAGCAGCTCTTATTCAAGATTCGGTTGCATTAAGGAAAAATACTGAAACTGAGTGGTTTTTGTAATGTTTGATTGCATTAATGGTTCTGGAAAATATGCATTCTGTTGCTGAATATGTCTACATAATTGAAATGCTGCATCAAAGCTGTTTGCTATTGATGTTTGATGCTTTTTTAATTGTCTGAGCTTGAAAATCAGCACAAAAGGGAACTTTTTAAAAGAAAAAAATAAGACAAAAAAAATTAAGTGAAATCAAAATTGCAACATTTCCATTATTTAACATTTTTAAATAATTTTTAATAAATATTAACTGCTATAAAATGAAATTAAATTCATAAAAAAATAATTTAAAAAATGTTTATTTTGGCTAGTTTCCAGAGCATCATTTCTCATTTAGTGAGAAAAAATACTAAAACTAAAACTGAAATAAAAAAATAATAAAAACTATATAGACATAACAATAAAAAATAATAATAATTAAATACAAAAACACAAAAAACATTACTAAAACGTTAACTAAAATGAAAATGGAGGATATAAAAATAAAAACGAATTCAAAATATAAAAACAAGCAATAATAGTATCTCAATAACACTAAAATAACTGATTAAACATTTTAGTCGGTGATGAATGTTGGGCTATTTGCGCAATAACACTTCTTAAATGTATGAATCTAAAAGCAATATATTTTAATGTAATGAATCATACGATGTGAATTGGGATGCAGCTGTAGACTTGATTAAACTCAAAACCTTTTTATGCAGAAAACACAAACCTGTGTCTAAACAATACTATATTAATGCACAAGCGCACTAATGCACTACATTGTTTGTGATGTTCTAAAAGCAACAAGCCACTGGAGAGTTCAGTGATTTTACCACAGTTAAGTGGAAAGACTCCTTACACACGAGTGTTTAGATAGCAGCTGGTTCTGCTGTACTTCATCAAGAGGCAGAGATCTGACTAACCTCTTTTCTCTTTTATTTGTCCCTCTGAAGGAGACACTCATGTGGTGAAGCTGTATCTGAAATCGAGGGAAACGGGGCAGAAATTTGCTAGTGTGGATTTCACCTTCTACAACTGCAGCATCCACAGATCGTGAGTGTCTCTCTCTCTCTCTCTTTATCTCTGCTCTTCTCGTTTTACCCACAAGCTCCTCATCACTCAGGGGGGTGGGGTCAAATTTCTGTTGCCACGGCAACCGGTGGCGTGTTGATTGACAGCTATTCTCTTGAAAACAGACTGCGGTTAGAGTCCTGCAGATAGTGGGACCCCCAGCTGAACATCTCAATGAATTTGTGTGTCATGTGTGCTTCTAAGATGCTCCAGATGGGTCCGGACTCTTTTGGGAGGTCTGTGTAGTGTCTTATTGCAGGACAGATGAGCCCAAAGCTGTCTCTAGAGATATAACACACACACACACACACCTCTCAGAGTAACATCATCTCAGATACGCAATACCTTCCCATACACACACACACACACACACACACACACACACACACACACACACACACACACACACACACACACACACACACACACACACCCCATCAACAGTGAGCTTTAAAACTAGGTCACACTGCTCTTCTCTGATAAGACCAGCTTGTGTACTTGAAAAATACACACTACATATGAGTATTATCATAATTGGATAATCACATGCTTCTTTATTCAATGTGTCCACGTCTCTAAAAGCACAACTGCAATTTAGAGGACTGTATTTTGCATAATAAAGTGCTATTATGGACATTGTCAAAGCTTTGTGTAGATGAGAAAGAAATAAAGCAAGAGGAAATGTGTGAATTTCATAAAACATGTCAAGAACATTTCCAGGCTACATTAAAATCAAAAGAAAGAAATAAGATTTTTTTTTTTTTTTTTTGCAAATTAAAAATGAAGCCTATTTTTTTAGCCCTTTTTTGTTGCAATACTTTCATAAATTTTAAACTATTAATTTCTTCCACTCAATTTATTCTTCATTACATACTGCTTTTTCTTTAGAATAAAACTATTCTTAATGTATTAAAAAGAAGATAATTTTTTTACTTATTTTCATCACTTTATTGCAAAAAGTGATTTCAATTAAAATGTATGATACTTTTGTACTACCTTTATTTTAGCTGATTTAAAAAATGAATTGTAACAATTATAGTTGAGAATTATTATTGAAAGTAAAGATATTAATTTATTTGTTGTAGCGAATTTAGCTCACAACAGGAAATATGAATAATTAACCATAACTAATTATGATTAATTATTAATATTTTAGATCCACTGTAGATATGGTGTGTGTGTGTGGGGGGGGGGGGGGGGGGGGGGGGGGGTAATAATGGTAATTTTAGATGACCTTTCGGATATATTTAATTATTAAACACTTTATAATCTATAATAACATCAAACTTATTTCATATTTTCTCTAAACCTTCTTGGATGTTAAGACAGGCACCTGCAATTCTGGCCAAATTAAAGATTAGTTGTGTGTGAATTTGCACATGTTATAATGTAAGCATCATTAATGAGCCCTCGTATTAAAAAAAAAAAATTTGATTAGTGAAATGAAAGAATGATTTAATAAAAACTCAGAATGATTAGTAATTGTCTTTAATTGGCCTGTTTAACTAAGCCCTCAAAACACTTCTTATGTAGTGGTACAGTAGGCTATTGCGTGATTTGTAGATTATATTTAATAGTTTTCACTTTGCATAAACGTTTGCAATTAGTTTTTAAAAGGTAACATTACATTCTTAAGGGCTCTACGCTTACATTTCTTTTCAGGAGCGCTTGTGCTCCTACTTAAAAAACAATTAGGAACACCTTCTGATCAATGACAGAAATTAACCTTCCTAATATAAGGCAATATTTGACTCCTTAAAGGTTTTTTAAACCTTTGTAATGCTTCTAACTTTATTAATTGTATGTCATCTTTTGTGGCAAAAAAAATTAGATTTATAAACTTTTATCAAAAATTTTAATTAAACAATAAATTCAGTTAAAATAATAAGATACAATCAGGAAGAATAAGTTACTAGTCAAATGAAATCCGCACCAACAATTCATCTTTGCACAGCAAAGATAAGCACAAATGTGGCATTAAGGAATATTTACAGACTTTTTGACAAGACTAGGAGGTGGCATTAATGCATTTCATAATAACAATGTTATGAAATTAAGAAATATTAAATTTATACTTAAAACTGAAACCGCCAGTAGGTGGCAGCAAGTCACTGTCTTTGTCACTGAATAATTAATTCAATCGATTCGTTCAAACGGCTGATTCATTTAGGAACGAAGCAAGTGACTCTCTTTATGAATGGGTCATTGAATCATTGACTCACTAGATTTGTTCAAAAACGCAGATTCATTCATAAACGAAACACCGCTGTGTTTGCTTGGACATGCGCACTGGATCGGCTGTGACTTTGTTTGGAACTGTTTTCGTTGACGAAATAGAGCAGACAACAGTGTTCCTAAAATGTAAGTCACTTAATATTAATTTATGTATACAATTTAAAATGTATAAAACTGTTGTAAGTTCAATTTCACATTTGCAAACTCTCTTTATAATCATTTAAAAGCTGTCACTTGTCTTAGTTCATCGGAATCTCACAAATTGTACATTTTAATTATTATGAAGCTCCCTACACTGCACACTGAATCTATTATTTACATTGTCTCTACACTTTGTTTGTTACAATGAGTGATAAACTGCAGTCTGCTTTCACGATCTGTGCTGTGTGCATTTCCAGTCCTAGTGTGCATATTAAATATATATGAAGAGTTCATTTGCAAAAACCGATAACCAGAAATCAAGTTTTTTTTATTGCGCATTCTAATATCACTCAAACTGCAGTTGGGTTGTTTTGATTAAGTAATAATAACTTAAACAAATACAGGTAATTTACCAAATTAAAGTTTATTGAAAGTATGTTTTTTACATATTAAAAGTTTGTTTTATAGCAAGAGCCGATAACGCCAACAGTCGTTTTTTGGCAAAAGCAGATAACTCCACATTTCATGTTTTAGAGTTTAAAAAACGCTGGTTTAATCTTTGTAATCTCCTCAGATGATAATGTAGATGCCTGACAAACGTTGTTGTTGTTGTGATCATAAACTGTATGGATGTGATTACACGCAATACACAGAGCTTTATCCTCATCAGTGTAACGCGCTGCTTTTGCAAGCTTCCGTGAAAACCTTTTAGCTTTTATTTTCCTTTTTCGCCCTGAAGAAGATATCACAGGTTCATCAAGTTCATCGAAATGATCCTCGATCACTTTTAGTCAGCTTTGATGAGACTCCTCTCAGCTAGCACGTCTTTTCAAAGTGAAAGTAGCCTTGTCACCTGACCTGAATACAGCGCGCTGATTCGCTGAAATGGACTTATCGGCTTCTGTTCACAAACAGCAAGGGCGCTTGTCGGATTCTGTTGTAAAACGTGAACTCGCGATGCCTTGAAAGTGGACAAAACTGGCTTTTTTGACTAAACGTGTTTAGGGTTCAGATCACGCTATATGTGGAGAATAATACACGGCACTCAGTTCTATTTTTTTTTAAAGTGGCGTTTATCGGTTTTTGCAAATAAACTCTTCATATATAAATTAGTATTATAATTATTTAAATTATATAAAGTATTGTCTTTGGACAAATAACTACATTGTTTCTTACAAATAAAGTTTTTAAAAAGACGGGAAATAACTGCAAAACTCAAAAGTTACATTTTGCATGTATGAGAATTTGGGAAAATTGTGCTTAATTTGCATTGATAATGAATTTAGGAAAAAATGCCTTATTTTCATGAAAACAATCAAATTGCAATGCAAAACATCTTAATGGTTTAAAAAAAAGCATGCTTCATTTTCTTTATATAAAATACAATTTCTGATCTCGTTTCTTTTTGAGGAGAAATATGAGCTGGCCACTTTTTTGTGAGTTTCACCCAAATGGAGTTTGTCCGTGATGAGGGCTATCGGAGGTGTTCGGTGTCCTTTTTGTAGGAGGCTTTAGAACAGCCCAGCATCTTAATGAATGTGAGTGAAGGAAATGAGCGTCCCGGTGTTAGATTTCCGCTCCTCCAGCGTGTGCGTGTGGGGGTTTATGCTGATCGCTGATCAGGGACGCCCTGAAATCATCGGCCGTCTGTGGGGGAAGAGAGCTCAGCATGAGGGGCTTAAACCAGAGACACCCTCAATCAGCCCCACTCCAGACGGGACGGGGATTAAAGCGTCTCTCGGGATTGGTGCAGGGGTCAGGAAGAAAAATAAGGTCACATTTATTATCTTCTTACCACTTATTTTAAGAAATCTCTGCTTTAAGTGAACCGGATTGCGTAGTTTAAATTGAATTGGTAATGGGTTGAGGGAAAACATGGAGGAGAAAGAAAATACAAAAAAGAATCACAAGTTGGAACCAAATGGACCTCAGTCAGGATAGACGGCAGATTTGATGAAATAAGCTAAAAGTGTAAACCAGTGATGAATGGATGACAGTCTGTTTATTATATAGTGCTGTTTTAAGGTCTGGGTCTGAATTTTACACCCGGAGATTTTTATGGAAATTATCCACTGGAAATATTTTTTGGAAAGGCCTGATCTCACAATTCAGATTTTTCTCTCTCTCACAATTGTGAGTTTATATCTTATACTGTAATTTAGAGGGGTTTTTTCTCACAATTGTGAGTTTGTATCTCAAAATTTAGATTTTGTTTCTCATAATTGTGAGTTTATCTCACAAGTCAGACTTTTTTATTCACAATTACGAGATTCTTATAACTTTCTCACATTTGCGGGTTTACATTTTATAATTCAGACTTCCACACAATTGCAAATTTAAATCTAATAAGTCAGACTTTTTTCACACAATTGTGAATTTATATCTCATAATTCAGACTTTTTTCTAGTAATTCTTTACATCTCACAATTCAGACTTTTTTCCTCAAAATGTGAGTTCATATCTCATAATTCAGACTTTTTTCTCGTAATTTATTTCATAATTCAGACTTTTTTCTCGTAATTTATCTCATAATTCAGACTTTTTTCTCGTAATTTATCTCAGAATTCAGACTTTTTTCTCATAATTCTTTCCCATAATTAAGATTTTTTTCTCACAATTGAGAATTTATATCTCATAATTCAGACTTTTTTCATAATCATTTTATATCTCACAATGAAGACTTTTCTCACAATTGCATGTTTATTTTTCAGTTAATTGCAGAATTGCGAGTTTATATCTCACAATTCTGAATAAATGTGTGTGCATTCACACCAGGAAAGTCCGCTAGTTCACTTACTTTGGTCCGGACCGAATACAATGTTTTTTAATTTTTGTTTTGTTTGGTGTGGTTTGCTTTCACGCTGCCCTTTTTGCAAGTGAACCAGAAACTATGAACAAAACCACACGTGTGCTTAAGGTCATCCATTCATTCAACCGTACCAGAGTTTGTTTGGAAGCGTTTACCTTAACCACAGTTACCTTATTCATATTTAATATTCTTCCATACATTTGAAGAGTTCAAGAAAAAACTCATTTCTTTTATAGTCTAATTCACACCCAGTACACAACAGTACATCATGTTAAACATGAATGTCTGTCCCTCATGGACTTACTCTAAGCAATATTGCATTGTGGCATTTACAGATAGTCAGTCTTTACTGTCTTTATCTGTTTATGCATGTACTTGCATATCTCAGACATGTTGCATCCATTTGTTCTCCATCACGGCCATCCTCTGGATTTATTCACGCTGATTAGCAGATTATGTGTCTCTGGAGACGCAGCATTAACAAACTGACAAATGGTGCCTCGATGGGGGATCATTACCTACACAAACACACACACACACACACACAAACAAACACACACACACTCCACAACATGTGCTTGTGCTTCCTCACGGGACTCAGAGGTGCAACAATTATGCAGCAGAATCCTTTAGCGCTGCTGGTTAAAATACTCAAAATGCTCATAAAATTAGACGGCATGCTATTGTGAATGATTTAGGGTTTTACAGAAACTTTTTGTTAACCAATATTATGCTTTATATTTTTTTGATTTATTGAATGCAAAAAAAAAGAATCTAAAATTTACAATGGTATGCATTTAAAAAATCTATTGTTACATTGTATACTGTTTATATTATATATTTATATATTCTCTCTTTCATATGTATGTATATACATATCTATACAATTTTTACGATTATGATTTTCCGGTTTATCTAATAATAAAAGTAGTAATTTTAATAAAAGAGTAATAGAATAGTAAAATAATAAAATAGTAATTTTTATATTTATTGATATATTTTAACTTTTTTTGTTAACATTATCTTTTTAATTTTCTGATTTATCTAATAACACAATTAAATCCTCATAGACGTTAAAAGCATTGTGGTATGCTGCTCTCTTTAAGATACCAGATTTCATTAGGCAATCATTTCTCAACTCTGATTGGACAGCATCAATTAATGTCACCGAGTGAACAATCTGCTGGACTTAATACTGAATAATTGAAACAAATGACTTTGTATTGCAGTCAGAAGCCTCAGATGCTTTCAGAGTCAGTGAGAGACCCTTCAATCGAATTAAAAATGAGCCGTTTCACTAATACTTGTGTGCGGATTTTGAGTTTTCATTTATATGTAGTGGTCTAAAAGGTTGTGTTTTAGTTGGTATGTTCCCTAAGTAGGCAGCTGCCTATGCACTAAGTCAGTGCACTATTTTTTTTGGCACAGATTTCTGCTTTCTCTCTTTTTTGTTATCTACTCTGCTCGTGTTTTAATGGGAAATCCTCGTCTCTTTTTGACCTCTCTCTCTCTCTTTTGTCATCGCTCACTTTCTTTCTTAAACCCGGAGACGCCTACTAAAGTGGATCTTTATTATTATTTCACACACTTTCGTGGGCAGAATAAGGACACGTGTGGAGCGCTGTGCTTTCTGACTCTGTAATGTGTGTTGCGTCTCATCTGTATTGTTCTGTATCTCTCCAGGTGCTTGTCCTGTGTGAACGGCTCGTTCCCGTGTCACTGGTGTAAATACAGACACTTGTGCACACAGAACGCCAACGACTGCTCCTTCCAGGAGGGACGCGTGAACATGTCAGAGGTAAGAAACACAGCCAGAAATCACTGCTCATTACCAGAAGATCAAAGGTTTGTGGTCAGTATGTTTTTGAAAGAAGTCTCTTCTGCTCAGCAAGGCTGCATTTGTTTGATCAAAAATACAGTAAAATTGTTTAAATATTATTACAATTTAAAATCCTTGTGCACACAGAACGCCAACGACTGCTCCTTCCAGGAGGGACGCGTGAACATGTCAGAGGTAAGAAACACAGCCAGAAATCACTGCTCATTACCAGAAGATCAAAGGTTTGTGGTCAGTATGTTTTTGAAAGAAGTCTCTTCTGCTCAGCAAGGCTGCATTTGTTTGATCAAAAATACAGTAAAATTTTTTAAATATTATTACAATTTAATATAACTGTTTTCTATGTGAATCTCTGTTAAACTGTAATGTATTTCTGTGATGCGCAGCTGTATTTTCAGCATCATTCCTCCAGTCTTCAGTGTCACATGATCTTCAGAAATCAGTATAATATGCTGATCTGCTGCTCAAGAAACATTTCTGATTATTATCAATGTTGAACACAGTTGTGCTGTGAAATATTTTTGTGGAAAACGTGATATATTTTATTTTTCAGGATTCACAAATAAATAGTAGCCTCAAAAGAACAGCATTTATTTGAAATAGAAATCTTTTGTATTATTATAAATGTCTTTACTGTCACTTTTGATCAAACTAATGTATCTTTGCTGAATAAAAGTAGTAATTTCTTTAAAAGAAAGTCCTACATACCCCAAACTTTTGAAGCTAGTGTAACTGATTATTAAACTTTAATAATTATTGCAAATATTTATATTACTCTTATACAGCTTTTTTGATTTTGCAAAGAGCCTCAATATTTCTTATGAAAATGTAAAGCAATGTTATTTCAGTATTGTTGAGGTACTTTTATAGTTTTTATTAATATTTTTAATCAGTTTTTATTTTTTCAATTATTTTCAGGTATAGTAATTGTGTTTTCTGTTCTTGTCCTTTTTAGCAGTTTTTGTTTATATATCTGTTTATATATTTTATTTCAGTTTTAGTTCTCAATATTTATCCAGTTAAAATAAATTAAAATAAGAAATGTTGCCTTGGCAACTAGCTGAGTTTTTTTCTTTTCTTTTTTTTATTATAGTTAATGTTCATTTTATTTCAAGTGAAATTTTTTATTGGTTTAGTTAAGTATAATAACCCAAATTCAAAATATGTACTAAGTAAATGTTAAATTCTTTTCAAATCATCCAATCAAAACTGATAAATAAAATCAAGTCCTGCCCATTTTTCTTCTCATTAAATATCCAGTTACGTTTGTAAATGCATCCCATGACAAGTGTCACACATCACACGATGCGAGTATAACGGGTTGCAAACTGCATTTGACGTTGAGTTTAAACATGCAATATGTTCTGATTGGCTGAGATGTCATTGATTTGTTCTCGCTCTCACTGCGTGACACTGGAAAGCTGATGCATCGCGGCGTGTTAATCTCTCTGGCGTGATCGCTCACGCTTCCTCCTCACTCATGAGAAACCTGATCTGCTGTACTGGAGCGAGCGAGAGGAGTGAGATAAGACGAGAGAGTCCGGTCATCGCCGCTCACTCATTGGCTGAGTGCGAGTCCACCGGGAATCTCCCATAATTCAGTGTTTTAAAAGCCTGTAGGAGAGCAGATGAAGCACGCTGGTTTCCTCTAATAGACTCCAGATGTGTGGAGGGAGAACGTGAGTGAGATGTTCTGGCTCTAGCGTGTTTCCCCAGCGCTCTGAGCGAGAGAGAAGCAGGGAAGAGCCGAAAGGCGTTGGCGTGTGGAGCCGTCGCTCGCTTGTAGTTTCCCTCGAACCGTCCGCTGACAGCTTCTGAACATCATACAGTCTAACGAGGCTCTGGAAGGTTCCACAGCCGATCAGATCCCTGCGTGATCCTATACAAATAATAAACCAAGTTTGAGTCCGAGTTCATGCGGGTTCGCCAGAATAAATCTTTTCCTGAAATCTGTTTGCATTCCGCCGGTGAAGTGTAAATCACTGGCTTTGAAACTAGATTTTGCGTTATTACAAGAACCAGAAGCAGAGAGTGCTACACGGGTGTCTTTATATAGCCACTGCTGCTCACTGGATGTGATAGAGGTAAAAATCTAATTATGTAGACAAAATACTTCCAATTTTTTATTATTATTTTTTTTTTTATATATATATATATATATATTTTTTTTCTTTTTGTTTTCTCTCTCTTTGTAACAAGAGGCAAGTCTTAGCCACACCCACATATTAACCAGCTGTTTTTGATGATTAATTAATTAACACTAGTTTAAGAATACCTGTTTGAGCAATTGATGTGTGTCCTGAAGAAGGCTGTTTTGCCGAAACGCGTAGATCTACTTTTAGCTAGTTGTAATGATTTAAGCCCAGTTCATTAAAGGCTTTTTATCTTATAAAAACTTACTTCCAAAGCACTTACTTTTTATCCATGTAAGTGCTTTGGAAGTATTTCGTCTACATAATTAGATTTTGCATTATTTTTATTTAAAAGAAACACACCCCCCCCCCC